ATCTCCCTTCTTTAATCAGGGACAATAAACTCCAAGTCAAGATGCAGCCCTCGTAACGTTGTAACTGCATCTGGCCCAGGGGGCAAGATCAGGGTCAGGGGAAGTGTGTCCTTTGGTGGGAAAACCCGAGCTCGTACCGCTGTCTACAGCCTGGCTTTCCTTCACTGGGGCTGGAGTTCTTTACGATAACATCTGACATTTGGAAGAGCTGGTGGAAAAGAAGGTTCTGCTCTCACCCCAAGGACACTAGGGCCTCACTGGAGGTAGCCTGACGCCCCCAGGAGGGAAGGGCTGAAAACAGGTGGTTTAGATACCGTTGTAGGTGATGTACTTGTAAAGGGCTACAAGGGCACGGAGGCATGTTTTGGAAATAGCAGCTCTCTGTCGCTGGGACCAGGATAAGGTCTGGGCAGGGCATTCCTTGTATTCTGAAGGCTGCTGACATTCAACTGGGGTGGTAAGTGAGATGACTCACTGGCAGAGAGAAGCAGATTGGAGAGGTCAGGGGCATGCCCTTGGAAAGCTCTGTAGAGTCAAGCTAAAAAGATGGGCAGAATTAAATGCAGCCTCACCTAGAGGTGGGCACTGCGAGAGACCGGACCTGGCAGGCTTTTCGGAGGAGCGAACAGGCTTCACTTAGTGTTGCTGTGCTCCGTGGGGGAATCCAGAGTCTAAGGGTCTTGGTTCAGAAAGGGTGCAGGAGCTCCACCATGCAACTCTTCTCCTGCCCAGCATTAAACAGGGAGCATTAATTCTATGGTCCAAAGCTCTGTTCCTGCCCGATTTTCCAGTTTTAGTAGAGGTGGCACTATTCTCCAGGTGAAAGAGAGGAGACGCCAGAGCACCCTACATTAAATAACGTTCCAGGGCCACAGGCTGGCTTCTGCCTCAGTCTGTGTTTTGGTCTGGGACTCAGGGCTGGTCGGCAGGGCGCCTGGCTGAGCCCTGGTGCTGCGTCATTCCCGGTTGTTGGCAGGCTCTGGGCAGCAGGCTCGTGCTGCCTGGGAAGAAAGCTCTGGAGGAGAAGCGGGGACAAGGACCGCGTAAAAGCGACAGGGAGGCGATTCTGGAGCTGAAGGGATTAAATCTGGGGCAGCTGTGCCTGGGGTAGAACTCTCCAGCAGAGTCCATCTGGGCCCCACATCTTCATCAGTATTTATTGCGTCTTGGCTCTGAGTAAGTTTCCGTCACGAGAGCTGAATACTGATGTCTGACCTTGCAGTCTCAGACCGCAACACCCGTTACACACAGACGAGGGGAAAGGATGCTGTCTGCCGAAGGAGAGAGGAAGACCCTGGTGAGGCACCTAGAGTGTCAGTTAGGACTTGGAGAATCCCTTTGTCTCAAGTAGTTACGGGAGGGTCCCTTCCCCAGAGGGAGTTTGTGGAAAGAAGCCCATCACTTCCTGAGTGGAACAGAAACTCTCCTTGTTCACCTAATGAGTCCTAGGTGGGCTTCAAAACTCCACTTAAGAGTGGCTGTGAGATGCTGCCTGCTACAACCCATCCGGACACACACATCCTCTGGCATCACATGTGACTCGTGTCCAAACAGCTGCCCTCCCATCTCTTACCCGCGACTGTCAGCCTGTGGAGGGCAGAAGCCATGCCCGATAGTCTTTGTAGCCGCAGAGTCTAGCACCGTGTCAGGCACAGAGGAGGTACCTGGACGTGAGAGGGACCTGGCTGCCACTTCGGCACGTTAGTTTTTGCTCATTTCATTGGTTAATGTTTGTTAAGGGGCTGAGAGGAAAGAAGGATGATTTGACTAGAGGGAGCGGGGGCAGAAGTGAACACAGAAGGGGGTCGCCTAGAGACCCTGCACACAGCCCCCGCCGCGAAGGTGGACCCTGGCCCCCTCCCTCTCTCTAAGGCCCCCGGGCCCTGGGCCGGCCTGTCCACACGCACCCTCTGCTCGCCCCTCGCTCACCAGTTGCTCTTCCAGGTGTGGCGGACGTGCGGGTCGTGGATGCCGTGCTTGTCCGCCTGCTCGTCCAGGAAGTCGAACATGTACTTGATGGCCAGTGGCAGGGCAGAGCCGCGGTGCGCCGTGCTGAAGATGGTCTCGAAGAGGTCGTCCACGAACTTCTGCAGCGTGCCCTGGTGGGGAGGCGCAGGCTCAGACCCCGGGCGCCGGCCCGCCTGCCCAGCCTGCCCTCCCGGCCCACCCCGTGAGCTCCGAGGATGGTTTGAAGATCGGCCTCCCAGACTGGGGAGGGGAGGGCGGTGCAGAGCCCCCAGCCAGGCCTGCCTGCATGAAACCGGGTAAGGGCGTGTATTAAATCTGCCCCCTCGCCCTGCCCGCTGGCCTCTGTCTCTAACAGCCTTACGTTTCCTCTGCACTAGGAAAACAGATGCAACACTGATGCCTGGACCTGAGGAAGGAAGCCTGCCGCTGCCAACAACACGGTTTGGTTTAACACCCTTTGGCGGTGTTACTTTAGCACTTTTCACAAATGCTAATGAACAACTCCCTCGGTCAGCGCAGACAAACACAATCTGCTGGTTCTGTGGAGGCATCACTCGCGCCGCCGGCTGATGAACACTTGCTCACGGGGCTCGGCAGAGAGCAGAGCCCAGGCCAGCCTCAGAAGGGAGGGACTAACTGCAGGCACAAGATGTCCCCAGACCCAGGCTGAGAAGCGGTGTCTGGAAAGTCACCCAGAGCCCCGATTCCCATCACTAGAGATTCTATACGACACTAGAGATTGTGCCGACTGTGGAGAGACAGTCATCCTTCCATAAGGCATGGCAGGACACGGACAGATGTGGCGTGGGTCCCTATCTGAGCAAGGGCAGGGATGGGATCCAGCCTCCAACTGCACGCCAACACTGACGTCTGAGTGGGGTCTGTGGAAGCACTGGGTTGAGAAGGATTCTGAGGTTCTGTGCTGGGAGAGAGATATGGCTGATCAGCAGTGCTCGCGTGAATGGATGTCGGGGACACTAGCACAGGTGCTAGGTATTTGCCCGTTCTGGCATTTCTGTGAGGTGATGAAGTCCCACCCTCAGACCCACATGTGCCTGCCCCTGTCTGAAGTCCCATACCTTAGTGGCCAGCAGTCGGGTCAGGTAGATTTCAGACACCATCTTGCTCCCCCGGTCTCCCTCCTTCTGGTCCCCATGCTCGTGGTTCTTCACCAGGTGCCACATCTTGACTCCGCTCTCCAGGTCAGGGGTGATCATGGGTGTGCGTGAGCGGAGGCTGTCAGGACTGCCCGTGTACCGGATCATGTTTTCTGCCAACGCAATGACCCCACATGGGTGAGGCCACCCAGCCTTCCAGCTCACTGCTTATACACACATCCCTGGCTCCAGCCAGACCAGCTACTGCCCGTTCCTTCCTGCATTTGCAGGCGCTGTCACCTTGCCTCCTCACTTCCGTCCATTCCTGGAAAGGGGATGCCCTTCCCACCACCTCCAGGAAACTCTCTGTGGCTACTTCACCCACTTGGATTCCCGTCCCTCCTGTACCTGCATCTCTCCAGCCCTTAATCAATTCGTAGAAATGTAAGCTTGTCCTTCTTTACACTCTGCCTTGTAAGAGCTCTCGGGATGTGTTCTGTGTAGCCAATTAAGTACCAACAAAAGAGCAGGGAGCCTGTCTCCCCTAATGACAGTGGACCCGGCTGAGCAATGGCCTTGTCACCTGCATTCCTTCATCCTCCCCACCTCTCCTGGGCCACTTATTTGCTGAAAAGTGAGGTGTGTTGAGAGGAATGAGTGTAGATCAGAAAAAGAAGAGGGAGGTCCCACTGTGTGCGGGCACCGTTCCATGCCGTCTTCTATTTATTGTCCAGAACGACCCCACGAAGCTGGTAGTTTCCTCAATCCCTGTTGTGCTGGTAAGAAAGCACACTGGGCTTCCAACATCCATCACCCTTTCCCTCACCCCAAGGAGGAGGGACCTGGGTCTGAACCTTCCCTCAACTGCTTCATAACGGGTGACATTTACACGTCATTTAGCTTCTGTGCGTCTGAGTTATAATTTGCTAATCTGCATAATGGGGGGAAATAATAATTACTTAATTCACTGATTATTATGAAACTGACGTTTTGATAATGAGCATCACAAATGTGAAAGCATCTTATAGACTGTAGGGCGCTCATGAAGGTTAGACTTTCTCCTCGTTTCCTGCATCAGAGCCCCTGCGCGGAACCAGGAGCCTCCTCTCTGGTCCAGCGTTCCTCTCCGATGGCCAGGCTGCCTGACTCCCCCCGCCCCTCCCTACTCCCCATCCCGGGCATCCACTGCCTTTCAGCAGCAGGGCCATCGTAACAACAGCTGCTCAGGGCATCCACTCCTCCCCAGGACGATTCGACGAACTCACCGTATTTACTCGCCGAGGTCCTGGAGACCGTGGAGTTGTTCACTGCATTGTAGGCGGTCACCTGCTTGGACACTAAAGCCACCACAGAGCCATCTGGCACCTACAGGGTAAAGGCAGGTAAGGGCCTGGGCAAAGAGACTCTGCCACCCCAGGAAATAAGGACAGTGTGGTCCTCGGGGGCAATCAGTGCCTCACCAGAGAACCAAGGGACCTGGGGGGCTGTCGGCTTTCCTTTGATGAAACAAGACAGCTCTGAATGTGGAATCGGTCTGTGTTGGGGCTCAGGCTTGGAGCGACCCTGCCAAGAGCTCAGCAGTATCCTCTGTCCTTGTGCCTCCCTGGGAGGGCACCCACACTTAAACTCCAGGGATCATTCAAGAAAGGGCTTCTCCTTAGGGTCTCCGCCCGTGCCCTGCAGGAGGCACACATCCTGTCTCCACAGAGGTCAGGGTTTCCTGGCTTGGGGACATCAGTTTCCCTGGGTCACTAAGGGAACTCAAAGTGCTGGTGAAGAAGTTTCAGGGCTCAGTCACATCCTCAGGGCAACCCTGTTATTCAAGGACCGAGACCCCCAGGGGCCTGGCTGCCCAGGGAGCGAGCCCCTCCCCCTTCCACGGTCACCTCACCTGGTAATGGGCCAGGGTGTTCAGTCTCTTCCAGTCGTTCTCAATCTTGGTGGTGATGTCTTCATCCTGCAGGATCATCCTCGCCCCACTGCCTTGTCGCCACTCTGCAGGGACAGCAGTTGCATCTCAGAGAGGCCCTCGGCCCCTCCCATGGGGATCCTGAGGCCCCCTGCACAGGCACCTACACGGCCCCATCTCAGGGGTGCATCCACAGACAGGTGCTAGCAGACACTCCCAGAGGAGTGGGGGGCAGCTCTCAGCACAGGGGGGCCCTGAAGTTCGGTTCTGGTTCTCATCGCAACAAACTGTGACAGAAGTGGGACTCACATCGCCTGTCCTCACCTGCCCACCTGTTCCCGGTGAGTGGCCACATAGAAAGCAGTCAGTGCTAATTAGCTGAATGAACAAGGCACTTAAGAAAGTGCTAAGCAAATACAAGGTGGCGTCATCACTGCCATGCCTGGGAGCTGGTCTGTGTCTCCTCTGCTTGATCATAAGGGCGTGGAGTTCATGAGACCAAGGCTGCAGATTCAGTCACTGTGCACCCTATTCCTGTTCCAGGGGTGTGTCTTGCACCCAAAATTGGCAGGCGGGCCACCCTTGGCAGAGAGACTGAGTAAAAGTGTGTGGAGAGACCAGCAAAACCTCAGCCCTGTCCATGCAAAGCTGATGTGCATAACAGCATCTTGCTGATCTATCCAACACCTAATTACCTGATGCCGCAGGTACACGCTTACACCCCACGTTCTCCCCTTGGGCCCAGACACCTACAACACGCAGGCTCGCTGATGGTTCCCACATGGGGAAACCGGGCTGTTTCTCATCCACCAAATCCTCATCGTCACACATGGTACAAATCACACGGAGATGGAGACACGCGCATTTCTGCCTTGACATGTTCGCACGTGGAGACCCAGGTGCACGCCAGACACGCTCCAGCTCTCGTGCCCGGGCACAGCCACATCCACACACGCACACACACGCGAAAGGAAAACCGGCCTTTTAAATTCAAACGCAACATGTGTTCCTGCCAGGAAGCCAGGGATCTGGCTTCCAGGCAGCCACGACCTCAGTCAACGTCTTACAGATGCTGAAACTTCTGAGATGGGCAAGAGCACCGGGCTTCTGCAGAGCGTGGCTGGGTGCTGGGAGCAGTTACCCACAGTCCTTGCCTGACTCCGCCTGGGAGTTTCCCTGTGGCCCACAGACACATATTTCAGATTCCTTCCCCCTGCTCATCCTCGTGTCAAAGCTGAGCTGCGGGCCCAGGACTGATTCCTCCCTGCCCTGTGCACTGGGCATGGCCAGTACTACAGGTGAAAATCAGGCCCAGAAAGGAAGCCACCTGCCCTCAGGGGGGTGGCTAACATCCACGTCTCTGCCTCCAGCTCCGGGGCTTGTCTGCTGCCTGGGCCAGTGCTCCTGGTAGCATCGGGCTGTCCCAGGAATGAAGACACAAGGACGCGCGTGCTCACTGCAGCGGAGGGGGCCTTGAGAGGTCTCTGGGGACCGCCTGTCACTTAGTGCTGATGATGGCCCGGCTGGAACTGATCCTGGAGGTCAGGCCTCGGGCAGGTAGCGAGGAAGACGACAGGTGAGATGTTCTCCTGGGGCACCTGGTCAGCAGTGTTTTGTTTGTTGTGGGTTTTTCGTTTGTTTTCGATTTTATGTAGGCACCTACGAATGTCTGTTTTTTGAGTGGCTGGTGCAAAATAAGCGGAATGTCTCCCCGCTGGTCAGGCAGCGAGTATGCAGTGCAGCAGACGCTGGTGAAGACCAGCCTGGGACAGCGCCACAGCAGCCACGTGCCTTGTCCCGGTCCCATAGTGGGTCCTGAAAGATAAAGCCTCCTGGCTCTCCCCTGCTGGCCTGGTGAATGGTGCCAGGGCCATGGCTGTTGGGGGGTACAGTAGAGACAGCTTGGGGGCACAGAAGGCAGTCCTGTGCTCTGCATGCCCTGATGGGAGCCAGAGGAGAAGCAGGGAACGGGCTCTGGACACCAAGCCTACTGACCAGGCCCGAGGGAGAAGGGAGTCTCCTTCAGTGAAGAGTCCATGGGGCTGGTTAGGATTAGATGGAGGAGGTAGCAGCTGAAGGCCAGCTTTCTGGTTTAGCAGCTGCCCTGGCACCCTTGCTGATGGCATTGTAGCACCTCTCAGGAGGAGTCTAACAAGCCACACAGCCTGGTGGCCTGAACCACCTGTCGTTACACCTGGTGACTCATTCTGGAGCCAGATACAGGAATTCCCGGTTACACAACTGCCCTGAAGTTGTGCAGTGCGCAGCCTGTGTGGCCAGACTCAGCAGCCCTGGCTCAGAGTCATGTCCAGTAGTTATGTAAGCAAATGAAAGTCAATCTGCCTCTCTGCCCTGGACAGAAGAAAGTAGGGCAGAGTGTGGCCATGCTTCCCCCAGGGCAGTCAAGGAATGCTGGCTTGTCCTTGGGAGTATAAAAATGCTGCTGCTAGATGTCCACCAGCAGGGCCAGCCCAGCACCCGGGATGCAGCAAGTACTTGACGCGTATTTATTAAAGGAATGATACATAAGTGAATGAGTGAATGAATGAAGGAAGGAGAAGGGTGAGTGAGGAACGGTGGCTTATTTTCCAAGCAGTGAGAGAACTTTCCACCTGGGTGCTGGTGCTCCGCAGTGGGCAGGCCGCAAGCGGCAGTGAGAGGTGAGCTGTGAGCCACTGTGTCAGAACCTGGGACAAAGGAAGGTCTGAACTCCAGAGGCACAACTCGGCATGTCCACTGCCAGCTCTCTGAAGTTATCACTCATTCTTCCAATTTGAAAGCTGGGAAATTAAAGAAACAGGCTGGGAAGATGGATATGGAGGTCGCCATCCCCAGGTCACTGTGCACTCTCCTCACCAACTGAGTTCTCTTCTGCGGCCCCTGAACGGGCTCCTCTTTTGGGCAGGGCACTGGACTCGGCACTTGGCTACAAAGATACATCAGAGGAGTCCCTGCATTCCGGGAGTTCTTGGCAGGGAAGGCAGATGTGGGCACAACTCAGAGCTCCATGGCACAGTGCCCACCATGTCCGCGAGTCACCCAAGTGCCAGGAGCATCAGGGAGGGACAGTGATGGCTGGACTGGAACCTGGGCTGTGGCCACACTGTGATGCTGGCAGGTAGCTGCCTCCCTTCCACTTCATACTTTGAGCTCCAGGAATCCAAGAGGGCCACAGCACTTACCTTCCACAAAATCAAACTGTGCTGATGGGGTGGTCGCCTGCCTACCCCACCGGCTGAACCTCGCGGGCAGCGGTGATGTGCAGTGGACAGCAGGACGGTCAGCGCTCAGTCACACGTTCAGGGACTGTAAGAGGTTTCCTGGTGTCTCAGTCCTACAGTCCTTTCAGCCCAGGCCCTGCCTCCAAAGTGGTGCCAGCGGGCAGCAGGGAGGCAGCAACTGTTGTCTTTTTTGGCAACTATCTCAAGAAGTCAAGAACGTTCCTCCAAATTCCAATATGAGGATAGTGAGCTGGAGTCGAGGAGGAGAACGCTTAGCCCTGTTTTTAGATTTCTCAAGCCTGTTATTTTTGTTACTTCTTCTACAAGAAAATTGCTATGTGCTTTTTTTTTTTTTGAAATGCCAGAAAGGTAAAAAAGTGAAATTCAATGTCCCATCCCCAAACAAGTCCTGATGAATGAACGTCCAGAGAGATGGGAGCTGGGTGTTGGGAGCGCCATCCCCGGGACATGCAGGAAAGAGGCAAGGCCACGGGCAGCCTGCCCAGCTGACCCAGAAGGGGAGAGTGTGGATGCAGCATCTGGGCAGGGATGCCCCAGCGCGGAGTGGTTTAAGGGAGCTGGTGCAGAAACGCATCCCCAAACCTCGCTCTTCTCTGCCCAGGGCTCTTAACCTCACCTGTGGCCTGAACACACTTCATGTCCATGTTACCTGCTCTCCTTCTTTTCCTGACCCCCCATCCAGCCCAGCCAGGGCCTCTGTTTCCCCCAGACTCATCATGGGATGTCTGAAGACAAACACCAGAACAGCGAGGTGGGCTGGGCTCTCGGGAGCGCCCTTGTGCTAACTCATGACTTCTCTTGACAGAGGTGTGAGCCGTGGAGCTCAGCCTGGGACCGGGAAAGGTCAAGGTCGAAGGCCAAAGCTACTAGCTTCTCTCTGTCCCAGGAACAGTCCAGCCCCGACACTGCACGGCTGGCTTTATGAACCCTCATCCCTACCCAGCGGTAAAGAACCCCAAGAGCAGGTTGGACCAGCTGAGGGCGAGGCAGGCCCGCCACCTTCGGATCTGGTGCCCTCGGCGGCGTGTGCGGCTCTCAGGTCAGGAGGCCCCCCGAGCGAAGGCACATCTAATTCTGTGCTCTGGGTATTGCTGCATATTCATCATACGCTTAGTTTTAATGCCAGTAATGCAAATCAGTAGAACCCAGGTCTCCTCATCCCAAGTTCGGCGTTCTCATCACCAGATAGGCGCCTTCTGTCTTGCCTATAAAAACAGCACTAAAAATATCTCTCTTTTGTGTCCGCCCTTTGTTACACACGAGGTGACCCCATTAGAATGGCCAAGGGGCAACGTGACAGCTTGGCCAGTGGCCAGCGTCCTCCGGGTGAATGCCCAGCCTCTTCGACACAGTGAGAGACTGGAAAATGCTTCAAGTCACCAAATGACCTGAGGTACTGAGCTTGGTGACAGCCCTAGTGAAACGTGGGACAGTGACCCCTCAGCATGCTTGCAGCCACCATGTTGAAAATCCAGACCCAGAAAGACACAGAGCTCCACTGTCACTCATTCAAAACTGTTTCCCGAGTGCCCACAGTGTGCCAGGCACTGCGCCAGCAGGACATCAGACAACTAAACAAGGAAACTTAGCAAAACAAAAGCCCTGGCCCCTGCAGGGCTCTCTCTGTGGAAGGTGTGTGAGAGAACAAAGGATCATGGGCCCAGCTGATGGAGCCAGAGGACAGAGAGGGCAAGGGGCGGGGGGAAGGGCGGGTTCTGGTTCCAAGGGGCCACTTCTGTGACACTTCTAGGGATCCGTGAGGATGAGTCCTTGGGGGAGACAGTGGGAGGGAGAGGTTGGAGAGACACACACAAGTTAGGAACTGAGTTAAGAAAGGTCTGGAATACCATGCTTAGGCATTTGGGGTTGGGCTGAGAACACGGAGACTGGGTGGATGAGAAGAGGAGGAGGAGCCCCGACAAAGACCGCTGCCCTTGGCCATGGCAGAAAGGGAGGGTCTGGCCTAAGGCAGTGGGGATGGAGGTGTAGATTTACAGATCGGGATAGGCTGGATGGTGCTTGGAGATTCTCAGGGAAGAGGAGGTGGGAGCACCATGGTGTGCCCCAAAGTTTGAGAGAGGGTGTCTGGGAGAACAATTGAGAAGCTGGGGCATAGAAGAGGGAGGAAGTTCATCTGCAGACCAACCCTGGAAGAAACACTAGCACCCAGCACATCGTTGGCCTGGCTCCTGGAGGGTCCCCTACCCACCAGCAGGTGCCACACTAGGAGGCAAACCCTCCCTGGGGAGCACGACCCCTCACTAGCTCTGGCCTCCAGGGTGGGTGCACGGGCACACATATGTGAGCATGCATACACACGCACAGACATACGCGCTCACACAAGTTCCTCATGTTATCCCAGGCGGGGACTCTAAAGGTTTTTCAACAACCGCCCCTCATCCATGCACCCCACTTCCCCAGTCCAGTCTTTCTGTCAGCATCTCTCAGACCCATCCCAGGAAGCTTTAGGAGGGGCTGACTTGGAGGGGTGAGGGAGGAAGGAGAACTGAATGAGTCAACCCTCCTGATCCACGAGGTGCCCACTGCCCAGCCAGCTGCCTGCCCCCCACTCCCCAGCCCAGGCCACCTTTCCTCCCCGCGGGGCTCCGAGCAGGTTCCCACCAGCAGCACACCCCACTGTGTGGGGCCCACTCTACTTCTCAAACCGGGGTCCCGAGCAGAGGGCTGGAGGAGGAGATACAACTCTACCGCTGCACACCTGTCCACAGTGAGCCCCCAAGGAGACACCTGGCAGAGAGCCAGACACCCTCGGCACCTAGCTGCTCCCAAGCGTGGAATCAGCGGCAGAGAAGTGCAGGGAGAAGCCAGGACAGAATCAGTGTCACAGCAAACAAGGTCAGGAAATTGACTTGGGAGAGGGAGGGAGGACCATCTAAATAGGATTTTTTTTTAAAGGGATAATTTCATTGTGAGAGCAAGTTCTAAAATACAAAATAATTGAACTAGGAGATGTGGTGTTTAAAGGAGAAATTCCTAAATAGAACTGTGCTGTCTGCTTTTAAGGTGCTAGGTCTTTGCAAACTGTAAAGTGCGGTACACCGGCTTGTTGTCGCTATTCGGAGGTGTCTGGAGAGCTAAAGGAAGAGGCAGGCTGCATTCTGCCACTCGATTTCAGAGAGGTGAGCTAGAGCTTAGTGGATATTCTTGAATACAGAACGCAATGTGGTGTGCGGTGTCAAAGAAGAGTTAAAGAGGCAGAGGGTTGGCAGCGGGAAGGAGGAGAGGTGACCCAGGTATTCATATGCAAGGCACTGGGGGGAAAGTTGCTGGATCTGACCCCTCCCTTGCAGCTCTGGCCCCACAGCCCGGTGCCCTGCTCCAAGCACAAAGGACAGACACACTCACAATCCAATTTGTTACACTCCCACCTTCCAGGGAGAGAGGGAGGTGAAATAAAAAAGAAAAAAAATCCCATTATCCTTATCTGCCTTCCCATCAGGTGCAGCGGAAAATGCAAACTGGGGCGACAGCTGCTGTGAACTCTTTATATTTCACTTGGAAGATAGTGTATCTTTTTATTGCATACAGGAATTACTTATTTGAAAAAATATACCCTTTCAGTGCGACCTGAACAGCAAGACAGGGCGGAGGGCGGGGGTCGGGGTGGAGGGCGGAGTTCTGGGGGCTATTGATGGAGCATTCTAGTTAAACTGGAGGAATCTCTAGAGGTCATGGCCTGCGGAGGTGCCTGCGTGGGAAGGGAATGGGTGTTCTCGCCACAGTCTTGCTGTGTGACCAGGGCCCAAGCACTGTGCCTCTCTGAGCTGCAGAGTCTCCTGTGCTGTGGAACACAATGGCATCCATTATTTCCTCTGGGGACTGAAGGGAAGACACAAAGAGTCCCTTGGCTCAGAAAGAGGAGTGTTCAGCCTTCTGCTACTGCACAAAGAAGTGAGGAACTCCTAGTCACGTTGGCCCCCCTGTGCCTTACGATACGTTGGTTGAAGAGTTTGGGGGTGGGTGGAAAGAGACATCGACTTGGCGCGGACAGCCTCACGTACCCCAGAGCGAGGAGCCCCCGGCCCTCTGCTTTGAAAGCTCCCGAGGCCCACCTGTCCCGGCACAGTCCCCAACTCCTGCCCTGTGATATCTTTCCTTCCCTAAACTGCAACAGACTGAAATAATGTAAGGCAGGTTTGTGTCCTTCACTTTGGCTCCTGCAGTGGTCAGTATTTATGTGTCAACTTGTCTGGGCCACAGCACCCAGAGAGGTAGCCAAAAATGATTCTGGGTAAGGGTTTTTCTGGATGAGATTACTGTTTAAATCAGTGGCCTCTGAGTGAAGCCAATTACCCACTATGGGCAGGTGGGCCTCATCTAATTAGGTGAAGGCCTGCGTAGAAGAAGATTGACCTCCCCTGAGCAAGAGGAAGTTTGGCAGCAGATGCCTTTGGATTTGAACTGCAACATGGCTCCTCCCTGGGTCTCCAGCCTCCTGGCTTACCCTGCAGATTTTGGACTTGCCAGCCTCCATGCTAGAGACTGAATGTTTGTGTTCCCCAATTCGTATGTTGAAATCCTAACCCCCACTGTGATGGCACTGAGAGGTGGGGGTGGGGCCTCTGGAGGCTGATTAGGTCATGAGGGTGGAGCCCTCATGAATGGGATTCGTGTCCCTATAAAAAGGACCCCCAGAGCTCTCTTGCCCTCCTTCCACCCTGTGTGGTCCCAGCACATAGAGGGTCATCTGTGAACCGAGAAGTGGGACCTTGCCAGACACTGAATCTGCCTGCACCGTGATCGTGGACTTCTCAGCCTCCAGAACTGTGAGAAATGAATTTCTGTTGTTTATCAGCCAGTCTCTGGTGTTCTGCCATGGCAGCCCAGACAGACTCCTGGTCCATTATTCATTAAGTCTTCCATGACTGCCTGAGCTAATTCCTTCTGATAAATCTATGTATAAACAAATCCTACTGGTTCTGTTTTTCTGGAAAATCCTGATGACTACTGTTCCCCATCTTGGTTTTCCAGCGCCTGGAAAAGCTGGGGAAGGGGTGGAGGGGAAGGAATGGGAACGCTTCAGTCCGAGGAGCAATGAATAGAAGTGTTGAGAATGAGGGGCCAGGCCAGGCCAGGCGCCACAGTGACGATGAAAGGCAGATGGAGGAGGCTGAGGTGGCTTTACTGGAGACAATTACAGAGGTGGCTTAAAATGTCTGTGCTGCCTTCTGGGCTGGCCTGGGACAGATGCCTTGCCCTGCCAGAGGCTGGGCATCGGGGGGGGGGAGGCAGTCTTTGTCCAATGCCCTCAGCTATGGGAGGAAGAGGAAGAGGGAGAGGGGGATGAAGCCCAGGGGGGTGCTTGGCTGTCTCGTCTCTGTGCAAGGAATGTGACCAGAGCCCTCTCCATGCCTGTGCGCTATGCTCCCCTTTGGCATAGATTAATTTTTGATAATTATCACACCTTATATTTGTAAATTGCTTTTAGGTTTTCAAAGCCCTTTCACCTACACGATGGGAAAAAAGGCGCCTTGCCTCTCTCTCCCCTTGGGGGCCACGTGGCTGAGTCGAATCGAATCTGGTGGAAGACGCATTTGGGTCTCTGAGGAGTCCCCGATTTCCTCGTTATGTGATCTGGCTTTGGCAGAAAGAGGACCAGAGCCATGGGGCAGCTCCAGAGCCTGGACTTAGTAGAAAAGAAGGAAATTCCTCAGAAGTGCACCCACTGTGGGAGGCCGTTGTGAAAAGCTCAGTGTGATCCCCCTCGCAGGAGGACGGGGCCCTGGGGCTCCAACTGCCTCCTTTCTTTGGCTTCTTCCCTTTATCCTCCCTGCTGGGTGGCCTTGTTCCTCCAGGGTGGCCCCTGCATCCTCCCCAGTGGGTCTTGTGGTGGGAAAGTAGTTTCTTTGCTCTCCTGTGACCCGACGAGCATGTGTCACTGGAGGCCCGTCCCGTCCCAGGGAGCAGGCCTTCCCCTGGCCTGAGCAGCCTCTGGCCTGAGAGAGTGGTGACTCTCAGGTGGGTCGTGGTGGCCACGCCACCCCCAGGCTTCCTTTACTCATGGCGGCCATCAGGAAGTGGCCATGGCTGCTGGGAGTGCTGCTGCCTCCATGCTGAATGCTCTCTGTCCTTTCATGAACCATCTGTTTTGCTGGGCGCACACCCAGAAAATCTTCTAAAGTTCATAAGCAGCCCCTTCCGCTCTCAAGCTCTGGGTATGTGGATTCCAGGTGGGGAGGGCTGGGCCTGAGTGGCATCCACCAGCCATGACGTGGTCTGGCTCGTCCCCCCGTCCCCAAGCACCAGAAGCACGCAGCGCCATATGCACCCGCACACAGGAGCTCTTTCCGTGTTTTGGCGCAATCTTTCCAAACTCCCCTTCCAGCCTGAAGACACAGGTTCTTCTAACAGCTCCTCCTCCTGGCCCCACGATGCCGAGGTTCTCCACCCACCCGTTTTGCAGATAAAGACTTCGAGAAGTCGGGGTGGACCCTGCCATGGTTCCCGCAGATGAACAAAAGGCATGGTGAGAGCTAGCTGGGTACCCTGGTGAACTCAACTCTCTGTGCAAGACCCATTACGGAGCAGCTCGCTGAACTGTTTGGGGGTGGGGCACACAGGGGTCTTCCTTTCTGGTAACCGTTTTCTCTCCCACCGGTTCCTAACAGAGCCCTTTGCTTCAACAGTCTGTAGGACTTTCACGGCAGCAAAATCACCTGCACGCAGATACAAATGCCCACTCCGACCCTAGGGGCCAGTGCCTGGGACGCACATGGACAGAGTTGCCCGGAACCCCCCACCCCACAGACTCTCACAGATGCTTCGTCCTTGTCCCAGAAACCACATACGCAGAGACACCTCCACAGTGAAAGGGAGCACGTGCTCGGCCAGTCTCTCTCCTCCGGCCGCAGAGCTCCAGGCACTGGGCCAAACACATCCCGCCAGGAGCCAACCAAGAGGAGATGGGGGAAGGGAAGCAGTAAGAATCGAGGTGAGTGAGCAAAACTTCCTGATCCTGAGTTGTTGGGCATCAGAACTTGGGAGGAGGCTGGGCGAGGCAGTGGGAGGGGATGACAATTCCTTTGGACTTCAGAAAATAGCATAGATGCCCATCTGTCTTGGATGGCTTAGCTGAAGCCAGCTTAGAGGCCAGATGGATGGATTAGGGGCCTCTGGAGGTCCTCCCACCTCTATGTTGCCACAAATCTCCAGACACAAACAAACACACACACACCTAAACACCATTTCCTCCATGCCCAGGATCAACAAACAGACCCATACCCTTTCCTTCCCAGTGCTAGCTTGATAATCAGAAATAGCAGCGGCCAACACTTACTGAGTATATACCATGGGCCAGGCAGTGCATTCAAAGACTTTTACAGGCATCATCTCATTTCGTCATTACAATGAGGCAGGCGCTCTTATTTATATCCATTTTATAGGCAAGGAAACTAAGGCACAGGAAGGTTAAGTAACTAGTCCAAAGTCACACAGCTAGGACTTGGTGGCAACAGGACTCAAATCCAGGCATGTTTGATGGTGATCCACAATGCCAAACTGCCTGTCTTCAGTCCTGGCCTCTTTGGAGCCTGGGGCTCCCCACCAGGATTTCCCCAGGACGATATCTTATTAAGTACTCTGGCGAGCTATAGCTGGATCTAAGAATAGCTGGCCCTTGTTTATATAGGCTAGGCGATCTATTCGCGGAACATTCAAATAAAATGTCATCCTGCTCCCCAGTAAGCTGTCATATCTTATTTTCCTCTATTCTTTCTCTCCATCCTCCATCACTGACCCAGATCCCTCATGCCTTCAACAGGCAGCAAAGAATTACAGGCACAGAACAGAGGCGAAGGGAAGGGCCTAGGGGCACACGGATGGTGGTGGTGAGACCTTCGACCACACAGTTTCAGACTAAATCCTCTTCACTGCAACTGTGACAGTTCCACTCCCACCCCTCAAAAGACCCCACAGGCAGTCAGATCGCCAGCAGACTGTGTGGTCCTCTCTCTGCTTACTGCTCACAAAGTGGCCACGAAGGCACACCCCCTGGGCTCCTGGGGGCTGTACATGCCTGCTTCCTGTACCCTGACCTGGCTCCACTGGTCGGGAACAGGTGCTTCTGACCAGTCACAGGACATCCCCCTGGGTGGGCAGCCTACTCACCAAGGTCCATGTCTGCAGCCTTGGGCCGATGGGAGCAGGGCACATTCTTGAAGATGGCATCCAGAATCTTCTCCTTGACCTGAGTAATGGTGTCACAGTTGAGGATTTTCACTGGGATCTCGGGGCTGTTGGCGTTGTCTGGGTTGACACAACTCAGGACCTGGGGGAGAAGGGAGAGGAGGCGTGTCGGGGAGGGCAGCATGGAGAGGTCCGGGATTGCCAGCAGCATCCCAGGGTCCTATCCTGACCAGCTCCGCCTCTGCAGGTGCAAGTGGAGAGGGGTGGAGCGGCCCCAGCCCGACCAGGTTCCTGCCAAGCCCTCTGCCCTTCCGCCCAGACAAACAGCAGGAAGATGCCACGGAGTAGGAGCTGCACATTTAACTCCTCTTCACAACAGACTCCTTTAAAATCTGGATTTATCACAGGGAACGATGTCCAAGCAGGCGGAGGCAGTGAGGGGTAACCTGTCTGAGAATGGACACTACTGCATGCCCACCAACCCCC